ATATTAAAACAACACATTCCCTCAAAACTTTCACAACCCAAATGTTGGCGCAGAAGCAAATAATCAATAGCAGCGTGATTTTACAAAATAGCTTTTCTCAAATCTTGTAGTTCATGGTTGATTGCTGACATAGCTGAAGAAATAGCATTAATGTTGAGGTGGGCATGAATAGCAAGTCCTGGCACACCCACTAAAGACACAGTCAGTGCCACATATTCTGCCTTATTAAGTAACGTCTCAGTCACAAGTGCTGTCTAGCGTGACCCCACGTCGAGAACGGTTTGAGTGAGCTTGTTGTTTGGAAAGCAAAACAGGAATCAGCCGGCTGAAGCAACACTGCGTTTCACTAATATTAGCAGGAATATAATTAAAAGTTTCTTCACCACATGTGAAAAACCATCCTTGTAGTAGCCAAATATGTCCATAATGAAAGAAAGTCTCTTCAAAAGCTGTGCAGTTTAAAACAGGTGAACTAATGCGATGACAGTGAGGTTTTTTACTTGAAGAAGTACAATCAAACTATTTTTGCACATGTTATTATTGCAGGGATAGCTACCACCGGGGTATGCAAAGCAATAGCGTCGGGGTGGATAATAAGCAGTAACCCCCTATCTAGATATAGCTTTATAGTTAAAGTTCCCATTGAATAAAATTCTGCTCAAGCCAGTGAAGTTTTGAATTACTGCAGAAGGGGTACAAACAGATTAAACATATAGAAAGCAAATTATTCATGTCATACATTTCAGATAAGCAAAAGACATTATTTTGTGTGATGTTAGCCAGCTGCACCCATAGATTTTGCTTCATTTGTTGCTCGAATGATTGTTTGGGTGGGATGACAGTTGCTGTTGTCAAAGGGCAGATGTTAATGATCAGACACAAACAAATGATGGCTAAGGAATTTGCAGTTAAAACTGCAAAAATGGTAGCACACAGGTTCCGGGGATTTGCTCTACTTGTTGCTGTTGTTGCACTGCCTGTGCTTTGGCGTTCAAGTTCTTTACATCTCCCCATGTCACTGGCCGACTGGCATGCCGGATCGGATTGGTTACTGTGCCATCTGTAGAGTCACCTTGGCCATTTCTGGGGCTGGATCCAGGGACTGGTCCCAACCATGCTTTGTCTGGTAATGCCCAATAATATACCAGCAGCGGAGGCAAGCTTGTTTTCTGTTGAAAGTGTCTCTGATAAGTGGTCGAATTTTGAATGGAAACATTCAATTGGTGTAATGTAAATAATACTTTTTTTTTGTTGTGTTACCCATGACAAATTGGGTACTCTAGATCCGTCCTTTTTTATTTGTTTGTGAAGGCAGTTCTTAAAGGACCAATTAGCACGTTCCACGATGGCTTGACCCGTGGAATTATAGGGAAGGCCATGAGTAAAAACAATATTCCAGGTTGTAAGGCGTGGCCCAAATTGTTCCTGAATAGGTATCAATAGATAAATGAATACATTTCCAGGGAGCTAAAAAGAGAATATGGGTAACATCCATTTGCCGTAGTTGATTAAAGGCAAAAACACGGGGATTAGAAAGACATAAAAAAAAAAATAGGCCCAGGAAGGGAAGAGTGACTGCGCATATGAAAAATAAAATATCTTGCAGCAGCTGCTGTCAAGGGAAAAACAAAGTCATAAGATTGGGGTCACTCCTGGGCGTGATGTAAGCACCTGGAAGATTAAAAATAAGTTGGCACACATAATGAGAGTCAGAGATTAAGTTAAAGACTGTTGAAAAAAGGTGTAAAAAGCCAAGATAGCAGCAGCTAATTCTGAGCATTGTGGTGAGGACTGTATTGCAGTGTAGGACACTTTTTAGGTAACATCATGAGGATCCTTGTAAGCAATTGCTCCTCTCGTTCTCCCTCCAGCTCCTACTCCAAAAGACAGTAGGAGCTTGTGGCAAGGGAGAAGGAGAAAGCAGTAGATGGACAGGAAAGATTAGAAAAAAGTCATTAAACAAGCAAGTCAAGGATCTTTAGGCAGGTGACATGAAATACAGCCTATATACTGAAGAGATAAGTTATCCTGAAAATAAAATTGAAAATCAGATTTTGGAATAGAAAAAACAATATTAATTAAATCAGTTCCATTTGGATGGCAAGCTTGTGTGCGTCCTAAGGTGGTTATTTCAGCAACCACCTGGATAAAAAATAAAACATTTTGGGATGGGGTGTGGTGTAAATAAAGTCATTCAATACAATATATTTTTTGTACTTTTATCACAGCTAATACTCCTGTAGGTAATTGATTAGTAGGAAAAATCAAAAGTGTTAACTGACAATTTTTATGTGGAATTCTGTCCACAAATTGAGTACTCATGATGTCATTAATTTGTTCCACTGTGGCAAGTGCTGCAGATGGAACTACAATGAAATCTCCAGGTTGTTTTCCTTTGGTCAATAAATCAAATAATGGACTGAGCAAATTTGTAGGCAAAGGAAAATACGGCAAACCCAAGTTAGGATGCCTAACAATTGCTGTAAATTGACCAATGAAATAATTTTGGGTAGGCTCAAACGAGGAAAAGATGGGGCAAAATAAGATTGCAACATTGTATGCCTTAAATGAAGATAGGGAGAATGCAACTGTATTTTTTCTGGGGCAACTTGCATTCCATAAAGACTTAAATCATGTTGTATTTCTGAAAGCCAATTAGATTGTGTCTTTGGTGCTCCAATTAAAATATCACCCATATAATGATATACCAAAGCCAATGGGTGACGTTTGTGCTACGCAGCAAGAGTGGATATCAAATTTCCCCTGTGTTCCACTCTTCACAAATCGCAATTCTAAGCAGAGGAAAAAAAGTTTCAAACGAACAGTTCCCCCCCCCCCTTCTTCTTCCTGTCTCTCTCTCGCTTTTAGCCAGCCGAAAGAGAGGGGGGGGGGAGAAATCTCACCACCAAAGAATAATTTTCTCTCCTTGATATGAATTTTCCATAAAACTCTTCTCACCCATCCTTCATCCTTATCTATCTCCTCCTCCTCCTTCACTTTCTCCATCTCCTTCATAAACCTCTTCTCATGCAAGCACTTACTATTACTTTTCAATTACTTTTACAACAATAAAATCTACAGTTCATTATTTCTTTCACAGCCTGGGAGAGAGTGGGTGGGGGGTGTGGTTTGAGGGCTAACACACACTTAGGTATCACCAAATGAACTCATTCACTTCCATTCTAAACTATTCCAATGCATAAATAATTCCACATACAAATATTTCATTTCATACTTTCTCCAGGCAAACCATTTATTCTTAATAAGGCCTTTTTGTATTGTTGTTATCAGAGAGGGTTTGACCCTCTTCCAAGTCTTGGAAATAACACAGAACAACATAGACAAGCATATATACACAAATACTGTTAAAACAACATTTATTTAAACATATGACTTTTCCTGCAAGAAGCGAGAAAAATCAAGAGCTGATTCCAACCAAACATGTGGTTTTTATATAGGGCCCTTTATCATCTATTTTTCTCACCATTCCAAGCCCAAGCATAATGTTCTGGGTGGCCACACACACACACATATATATACATATACATATATATATATATATAAACACAAAACACATTACACATTGACACAAAGCACCACCAGACATTGTCTGA